TGGTCGCACGTTAGCGGGTCGTACTATTTTTCTTAGATATTGTTCTCATTGGTAATTAAATTAGTGAGTACGGCCGATCTCTCTCCATATTTTTGTGTATACACAAGTAGTTGTATACTGAAATAGAATAGTGTCTATACTGATCTGCTGAAACGGAGATCAGATGTACAGAACGTGACGAACACCAAAATACAATCATCGCATGCACACAAGTGACTGCATTCTTCTTATAGTCCAGCGTTAACAATAGGCTTCTAATGTTTCTTAAATAGCCTTGATTTTTATTTTTCGCATAATGAGATATCCAGTAAGTCTCCAACGAAACGCTTGAAAGTACGAACCGCCTCTCGCTTTCGGTGGATATTATCTTGTTGCGGTGATAAGCTTTTCAGGCGAGACCCAATTACATCACCTTATTCAAAAACATTGTATACGCAATCACGTATTTAGTAAACACGTGGGAAAAATGGGTTTAGTACAATAGATCTACAGGTGTATCTGTATCTGTATGTAATATGTGTAGTAGATCCATTATTTTTGATATGGAAACGCACAAAATCGAATGCAGTTCCATTGCGCTTGTGGTAGCTACACTTAAGTGAGAGCAGAGCATGCGCGTGTTCTTTCACCCGCGGGAGCGTCACGTCACAAAACAGCGTTTCCTAGTAAACAGTTTTATCGGATCATTTAATTTCGAAAACCTGATATAGCTACAAGATCGCTCAACACTCAACAACTTCTTTCGTTGATTTAGCACTCAACCTCGATATTCGCTGAGCTCTGTATCTTTCACATATGTTTTCGATAGTCAAGGGCGGTACACTTAATATATTGCAACGCATCAGATACATCTAATCTCGAGACACATCCCAGACTGTGTATATTGAGTAAGCTGACCCGACATTTATAGTGCCATTCCACAGATAGCTTTGCGTGTGAGGCAACAACGAAAAAAACTCTGCATTAGGGACCAAGCCACATCGCAACATTCACAGTATTATGGATAATATGCCGCTAATTTTAATAGCAATTAGACAATACCAAACAGTTTCGCTGTGCTGTACATGTGTTTATCAGACCGCACATGGTGTCCTCACGCTTCGAGATTATTTTTATTACTTCTCTTACATATAGTAAGACTTGCCTGTGCACCGTATTTATAGATGAACACGCAGAAAGAAGCGAGTATCAGTAGTTCTATATTGATGATGATTGACTAGAGATCCATGCTAGCTTGTATATGTTCAATGATGTATTGTATGGTCATCCGTGACGGCCATCCACCTTTTAGAATGCAAGCACAAAATAGACGGTCAATGCCCATATCCAAAGTTTAGAATATTTTATTTGTGTTTGATTGTTGCTCAAAGTTGGAAATCACGCTACATTAATTGGATGGAATGTGTCATATTATCGCCAAAAGTTGGTACACATGGATCTAATATCAGCTGCAAATTTGGGCCAGTTTTGCCTATATATAGATCATCAGTTTCTAACGATACAGGAGTCCGGGACAGCGAATTGCTCAAGATTCTTGTGGAAGTGAGATATCACGCTATTTGTTTTTACGTTTGATTTGTGGTATAGTCATAGAATGAGACAGACCTCTTGTTTCCGGTCGGTGGTACACTGTTTAATATACAACTCGTTATCCACTCCCATCGCCATCCCCAATTCCCTAGCAGTTGAAGTCACCTTCGACTACATACCCACCCTCTTCGCCGGCTTGTTGAATGCTCACGGTCAGCTCGGACCCGCAGAGATAAAGCCCAAACACAAGTTCGTGTTCAAGGACGCAATACGCAAGGCCAAAAAGGACCACAATTTGGACCTAAAGTTCCCGCCAGCACATCCATTCATGCCCCTGCCCTCTCTTCGACTTGCGACTGCTCTGAGGCAGGATCAGCACCCCCTGTATTCCACTGTGGTCGAGAATATATACCATGGTATGTTGTACGTCTGGGTCCAATTGATGACGGATGCTCGACGTGATGCATGTGCAGATTTTGAGCGACCTTCCTTTGGTATAGATTGCAGTATACTGATTGTGCGGATCATATCCGATTTCCCTCGATCGTCGGTTGGTTCCGCTTGGTTTGCATACATATGGCGGCATTGACCTGCTGTTGAATTGGTGTATTATGTTGTTGCCTGCTCTCAACCACTTCAGCACATAACCTCTTCAGTCAAATGGTTTGCTTAGTTTCGACTGCTAATCGTATGGTTTTTTTGGCCTCCTTGTTCCTTGGCGGTTGCTTGATGCATATTTTTTTCACTGCTATCACCCAAGTGGCATAAGGCCTTCATGGCTACACCTGGCTATATTTTCTGATACAAGGAGGTTTTTGGTGCTTGTGTTATATATGCAGTTGTGGGGTCATTATAGGTTGGTTTTAGCCATCTTAATTACGGTTATCTACATAGTGAGTGGCACCATGACTGATGCCACTAACTGGGCCAACTCATCGTGCTCAAATTAAGGAAGCAACGGAAGCTGTTGTATTCTCGTCGGCGAGCTTCATCGCTTATTCTAGTGTCTCTTAGGTTGCTTACTTTTAAATTTCAGCGTTTACTTATCATTTGAGAACTTTTGGCCTCATTCACTTTTACCTTATGTTCCTCGACATCGCTTGCCTCTCGTCTATTTTTCTTGATTGCACTCAATGTGAGTTTTGTCTCTCTTCAT